AGAAAGGAGAATCTACAGGTATAGATTTATATGGAACATGGTGGATGATATATTGTACACTAAAAAAAATGGTAGAGCGGTGTTCTTTCAGATCTATCAGTAGCTTTTTGATTCTATCAACCATGGTAGCCTTCTAGACTCTTAATAGTTTCAGCTCATCCTGTTGTGCCATGTCCAAAGAGTGATGGTATTGTACTTGTCCGTTTTTGGACCATTGAGAAAAGGATTCCACAGAATTCTATTCTTTATTCCATTGAACTGACATAAAACTACTTAGGGAGGATATACTAATGATACTCAGGAAGCAATTGATATCATTGAACCTTCTGTAATTTGGGTTAAATAGGAGAGAGAAGTTAAAAGTTAAATAAAGGCAAAATAGACTTAGTGATTGATATTCTATTTTAATTGACTTAAACTCCTGAAACAGTTTTGCAGTCTTAATATATTCCTTGGTCTTCACTTGTCACTAATTTTATAAAACACTTTTCTATGATTGTAGCTAACCTTTAGAAATTTTTGGTAATTTCAATTAGTGCAAAACAAAGCAGTTAATTTTGTTTTAACTGCTGTCTGGTGTCAAAATCTGCACTAGTATACAATTACTTGAGTTTCTTCTCATTTTATTAGGTATAATTTAGGATATTGATGTTAAACACCCTGAATTACTTTGAATCTCACCATCTAAAAGAATCTTTATGAAATTGACCATTAAGCTTCATGAATTAGGCCCTTTCTCTGTTGTAAAAGATTCGTTTATATGCCTTACAGAGAGGTCTTGCTACTAGGTCATGAAATACATTTCTTCAGAAATTGCATTTGACAGTTTATCTCTTTTCCTTTTATCAGAATAGCCAAGAAACATCTATTTCCTCAGATTTTAATCATTAATTTCTCCACTGAAATTATATATTTGCATTTTTATTTTATTTTGCATTGATTCTTAGCTACCTTGGATGATCAGATTGTAGGAAATGTGAGGTATAAATTAAATAAGCAATATAGAAAAATATTTTTTCCAAAGAAATATTGAGAATTTTTATTACAGGTGTGAGCAATCCTTTCTAGCCTGGGGACTGCACTTCTTTTTGTCTTCCCTGTGAGACAGCTAAGTCAACAGAACCAATATTTTTAGACTACCTTTCCCCCATTTTTGTGGGGCAAATTGATTATTTAAGTGATGCCAGCCTAAAAAAAAAGTATGTAACTGCAAATTTCAGCCTGTTTCTCTTAATACTTTTGTTCAGTTGAATTTTGGAAGGTATGTACAACTTGTAGACAATTCTTCATTTTTAAATGTTACTAGAGTTTACAAAAGTATTGTAAATGTTTATTAATGGTATTGCTGCATGATATATGCATGTATTCCTTGACTTATAGCTACAATTTAGTTCAGAATTATGGTAATAAATTATAGCAGTTGGGAAACAAAATGCTGTGATTTCCTCACTTAATGACCACAATCCTGGCTGTCCCCATTGCAGAGCCTTGAAGTGGAGGAGGACCTGGGAGGCATGATGAGTTCTGTACTGCAGCACCTCTGCAGCTCAATATGGCCTTCCCTGGGTTATCCAGGTTCTCCTCCATCTTGAGGCACTCCTTGCACAGCTTCCTACCTTTCTGGATCCCACATCCTTGGGCCTATCACACCTTTTCTGAAGATTGCTTTTACCAAGAAGAGGCAACAAGTGCGCCATATTCCTGTATAAAAGCCACATAATGCCATCCCAGAAGCAGGTTCCATTTTGTAAGCAGCTGCAAGTTTGGAAATGGAACCTGGTGAGGTAGCAAACAAGCTTAAGGCCTGTGGTGACCCAGCCAGGTGCAAAGTAAGCATAAGGAACCCAGCAGGGCAGGATGAAGGGAACAGCGCAGCTGCAGCATCCTTGTGGTTGGTCGTAAGAGTGGGTGGATTGACAAGCACCCCAATTTTGTTCGTGTAACCATGGGTGCTGCACAGGCTATAATTTTGGGCACAAGTCGTAAGTTCCTTAATTCAGCATTGTTGTAATTTCAAACCAGTACTGATTAAATGGCTATAAGTGGAGGACTACCAGTATGGTCAATTTCATAATTAGTTCAGTTGCTTCCTGTTACCATTTCAAGTGCAAAGTAGTCTACCACCTTGGTTTACTTTTTGTAGGCTATATGTGGTTATCAGCAGCAGTATTGGCTGTAGTCCCTTCCATGTTTTTAAGAACCAGCCTATCTATGAATAAGAGGCATTCTTCTAGATCAGGGGTAGTCAACCTTTTTATACCTACCGCCCACTTTTGTATCTCTGTTAGTAAAATTTTCTCTAACCGCCCACCGATTCCACAGTAATGATGATTTATAAAGTAGGGGACAAAACCCCTACTGCCCACCATGAAAGTTGGAACGCCTGCTAGTGGGCGGTAGGGACCAGGTTTATTACCACTGTTCTAGATGAAGAGGTTGATAGAAATCAACACTTTGCTTTGCCACATACTTCCCCCCATTTTGCATGCTGTTTGTCCTTACGTATAAATGGGTCTCAAATAAAGCATTCCATATGTACTTTGTATCCAGATTCCTTTGTTCCTGTGAGAAGCATTTGGATACATTTTTTTCAGTTTTGCCAACCTAGAATAAATATTCTAAATTAATAGCTCTCCGTTTGGTTTTTCATAATGAATATTTGCCAAATTAAAAACCCAGTTAGCTATTACCTTTCCTATCCAGCATTAACTTGCTAAGTTTACAAACAGCCCAATATTTGCATATTCACAGTTCATTAGTTTTTCTCCTTAAGGATCATCTCCTAAGTGCTCTCTCAGATACATACAAATTCATGTATACATACTTTATTATTGTGTTGATCTACAGGTTTTCTAATTCTTTCTCCTTGGTTCCTATAATGCTTATCAAGTTAGTTTCCCTGTAATATCTTTTTTCATTCTTGGTCATTCTGACTCCTAACTCACAAACCTCAGTTTTGTTCTGTTGCACTGTTTGTGCTATTTTTTTCATTATGATAGGTAACCTCTCTCTCTCCATGCCTGTTGAGTAGTTTAATGTATTTAAAATAAATTGCATTTATGTTAAGTTTGTTCAACTGTTAGAGACTACACAGATAAGTTTTCAGGTGAATCTATACTTGGCCTGATTCTTAAGCGATCTTACATTTTCAAGTCTTTCTTTTCTCAAAATTACATTTTATTTCTGCTCTTTGTTAATGACCAAAGGCAAGAGGCCTGTTTTAATTTGACATCTGAATAGCTGTAAAGGTAATCCTCAACTTATGGTTGGTTGCTAAGCAACTGTTGAAAGTTATGACAGACCTACCTGGGGACTCTTATGACCTGGATTCAAAGCCACAACTGTTGAGGGGCTCTGGTCATATGACCAAACTGCAGGTGTTTGGCAACCAGTCTGCATTTACGAATGTTTGCAGTGTTTCGTGGTCAAGTGACCATGCTTTATGATGGTTTTACAGTTTTCAATAAAACCGCACCTGTAGCAAAACATTAGTTACTACCTGGTAATAAAATTGGGTTGGTCATATGATTTGTTTTATGATAGTCATGATTTAAGACCGTGATAGGCAAACTCCATTATTTATGGTCAAATACCTGTATACATTTTCTTGCTCTTTTAAGTAACTAGACGAGATAATCAGTATGATACAAATTACATACTTTGCCATATTTGAGACAGCAAATTCTAAGCTTATAGTAATTTTAAGTTTCTTTCTGCCCTTTTGTATCAGCATGAGGAGCCGGTTACTTAAAATTCCTTGAAATCGAATTGCACTCTTCGTTTCTTCTTTAAGGTGTTTTTCCTTCAACTTAAAGCTAAAAGTGTATAATTCCTAATATAATTGCTCATTCAGATGGATGAAATGGAGAAAGGGGGGGGGCGGGGAGATTGAGTATCCTTTTCAGTAGAAGAGCAGAGCAGAGAAAATAACACTTTAATAAAGGGAACTGATGGTAAATGCTGTAAAATAAAATATCGAGGAGATCCATCCCAAACAGAACATCCACTCATATTCATATTAGCTTAGTTCTGTACTTTACAGCTAAAACTCATTGGCTTCTTGTTACCTAACATTGAATCAAATTGGATCATGGTCAGGTTCGTTAGAGTAGTTACAATGACTTCTGCTGTAGAACAGGATAGTAATATTTCTGTTCTGTGGCTGTTTATATTTAATATGCAAAGAAACTTCAGCTAAACGTGAACTATACTGTAGTATAGTAGAAAATTCGTATTCAACTATTTCTATTTTCTTCTAGGTTTAGGAAATATAATGAAAAACATAGTTGTTAGGCCTATAAAAATGTGTTTAGGTATATTATCTGAAGTATTGCATTTTTCAGTTTTTTTTTCCAATTCCTGAAATATCCCATGTTTAAATTACAACCTAATTGTTTGGACAAGAATGTGTTTTAGATTTCATATGTATCTTTCTGACATAGTCTGTTGTTAAGAACATACCATCTCAAATTTGAGAGAAGTTTAAATAGTGTCTGAAAGTGGATTAAAAAATAAGTAGGATTAAATCCTACCATTTAATAAGGAAAATATTATCTTGACTGGCATTTTTTGTTCTGTGTACAGACTTCTTTTAAATAAATAATTTGTAGGAATTTATAAATCTAAGGCTTAATTAATTTTATTTTAGTTTAATGTGATATTCAAACATTTCTCTCCTAAAACATACATTCACACACCATAATACCACAAAACATGCATAGTATTGTGATTATGATTTAATATTACTATGTGAACCAACGTAATAGTAAAGAAGCACAGAAGACATTAGATTTAACATTTTCAGTACTGGCTTTAAGCAATCCATTCAATGTAGTACAATCTATGAGTACTTGTATGTTCCTCTGTGCATGCTTAAGTTATGGAATAAATATACCACTGGTTAATTATAATTATATAAATATGAAAGTTACCAATTGTGGATGTCTTTGGATTTACCATGTTATTTGTTGGCTCTTAACTTTCTGCTCTGTGTTTTCTAGGCTGCTGAATATGTCCCAGAAAAAGTAAAGAAAGCTGAAAAGAAACTAGAAGAGAATCCATATGACCTTGACGCTTGGAGCATTCTCATTCGAGAGGCACAGGTTTAGTGAAATAGGATTACATTTCCTTATCAGTGGGTCCACTCACAATGCTTGGTTCTCAAGTAAATGTGAATACATTTTACATCATAAATATTGTAAATATTATTGGTTTTTAATTTTTAGAATCAACCTATAGACAAAGCACGGAAGACCTATGAACGCCTTGTTGCCCAGTTCCCCAGTTCTGGCAGATTCTGGAAACTGTACATTGAAGCTGAGGTTAATATTTTCATATTTTTTTCTTAATCATATAAGAATTTAAGTAGGGTTGAAAAATGATTTCTTAGGTGCATACACAAATTCAGGTAAAAGTGGAGCTGAACATTTCATAATTTATGTAAAATAGGAGAAAAGGGTAATTAAAATGAATCTAAATATTTGGGTCTATATGATCTGGTGATTGTTGCATTGTGGACTTGCAACAACATTAAAACAGTTTCAATGGTATTGGAGTGCTTTAGCCTTTTATTTACTTGTCGTGTCAATTTATTGCCTCCTGTGTCATTTATTTAGAGCTCCTTTTTGTGCATGTAAGTTAACAAATGGTTGTATGACCTTTTGGGCTCTAATAGTATTTCCGAACCTGATTTCAGTAGCTGAAAATATTTTTCTGGGTTTTGGGAGGGTGGGGTGGAGATGCAGGCAATTTTTATTTGACAAACAATGACGTGTGTCATATGAGTCTTATTCAGAATCAAGCATGTAAGTACATACATCAAAATTCATAATCCGAGCAGACAAGCATTTTATCCTGTTTTGCTAAAAGCCTAGAAAGACTTAAGCTTTCTGAAAAATACTTTTTTTCTAATTCTTTCTTTGGATTTTTAAGCCTGAAGTTTCACTCCTGTGCAAAGATTACATTTATAAAAATGTTTTAAAAATTGTAGATAATAGCTTTATTGTAGAATAACATTACATAAGTTTATATAATCAGGATTGAAGATCTTCTGCATTATGTCATATATATGGCATAAAATGAATAGGTTAATATCAGATTTTTTTAAAAAAATGAGAAGAGTATAGAGTATTACAGGATATGCATTTATGTTAAATGCCTTTCAGAGATTATGTAAAATACTATGATTGACATTGTTGGAATAAGTATATAACGCACATTCAAATATAGAAATACTCAGTTACATGTTATGCTTTGTAGCAGTGGTCACCAACTAGTGGGCCAGGGTGGTCCATGAGAAAATTTTGTTGGTCCCCAGAGAAATGTCACCCCCAAAGCATCCCCCAAAGCAATTAATCCAGGCTGTGCAGGAACACAAGGCCCACATGGCCCGCGGGAAAGCAAGGCTTGCGTCACTTGCATTACGAATAACACGTAGTGAAGGGAGGGGGGAAGGGCGGAGTGGGGGAGCTTGCCCCACGCGCCTGGCCTGACCACAGGGCTGTTTCTTTCCACTTCTTTCTTCTGCTTTTGGCTGCACACAAGGAAAGCAGCAAAAGTGTTTCTTTTTCTTCCCCAAACTCTGCCAGAAACGAGTCTTTGGGACCCTGCAAGGCATCCTCCTCCAAGAGACTGCGCCTGTGCGACAAGTCTCACAAAGACTCATTTCTGGCAGAGTTTGGGGGAGAGAAAGAAGGACTTCTGCTGCTTTCCTTGCATGAAGCCAAAAGTCTCTCTCTCTCTCTCTCTCTCTCTCTCTCTCTCTCTCTCTCTCTCTCTCTCTCCCTAGAGCTGGAGACGGTATCTTGTGATCCCAAGTAAAGAATGATAGGTAGGAAAACAGGATGGAGAATTTTCCTGCAGAGTTTTTTTAGGATTTTCCCAGGGTCTTTGCTGCTTTCTGCAGAGACCCTGGAAAAATGTCAGCAAACCACAGTCAAAATTCATATTAGTGGTCCACGGGATTTAAAATTATGAGTTTGGTGGTCCCCGAGGTCCAAAAGGTTGGCAACCCCTGCTTTGTAGGGATACATACCCCCACCCATTCAGCAACATATATGACACGCCAATTAAGACAATACTTCATGATTAACATGCACTGGTGTTAAAATTTCTTTTTAGGACAGTTTTCTATTTATAAACTGTCCATCCAGGACTATATAACATAAATGCATATAATTGTGGTATCCAATTACGTTTGTTCCATGAATATTAATTTATTATATACTCAGGATAAATGTTGGATACTATCCTATATTTTTTCTTTTTTCATATTTGTTCCATAAATATGTATGGTTATCACAAGTTTAGATAAAAGAAACATATTAGTTCTTCTGCTTGTTTTTAGGAGACTTGAAGAGCTGCTTACTTTTTGTTGGGGGTTTCAATGGAGCATGATGTAGTAGATTTAAATCTTGATTACAATAGTACATTTGCCTTTTTAGTATTGTTTATTCTCTTAGTGGAAATATTGGGATATCTGTACAAGTAAGCAGCTAAATTAAATCAACACTATATGCCTTTCTTAAGTTTTACCCATTAATAACACTAATACATTCTGAAGAGTTTTATTTAATAAGCAGGCTTATTCTCGTAGCCTACTGCAGTACCTTGAAATTAATTTGGTAATAGAAATTAAGATAAAGGTTTTTGTCTGAGCATTTTTTCTGTATGCTAAGAAAAAGTTGACTTGCTTTTAATGTAAGTCAGATTTTTTTAAAAAAGAATCCGATACTGATTACTTTATTTTCAGAATGGTTGTGAATGATGAGTAGGTTGTAATAAAAATAGAATCTTTTAGTAGTCTGCCTTTATCCTAATATGGCATTTGAGCAAAGTCCAGAATCCAAATCACGGTCATCATACTTACTGCCAGCTCTCCTGATCCCGTTCTGTGATTCACAAAATATCCCCCAACTCATTACAAAGCAGCACTTACAACATATGAAGGGGAAGTTGGGTTTTTTTCCTCTTTATTTCCATGCTTATAAGCAAATTCTTTGTACACAAACATCTCTGTACATCTCAGGTTCTCAGCCAGTTAGGATACATATAGGGGAAATTACCAATCAATAATTGAGTTTATATTTTATATCTTCCTTGCCTGATTTAAGGCGTGCCAGATTTGTGAAACTGAATCTAAAAATTCCTGACCAACTAAAGGTTGTCTGTGCTGACTAGAAATTCTGAAAGCTATAGTTCTGCACATTTGGAATGAGAGGATATGTATTTCTTTCTACAATTGAAAATAGGATTAATAGAAACTGTAAAGTCTTTATTTATATTATAGATCTTTGTCTTTTATAAATATTTCACCAAGTAGTTTATTGACTTAGCAGAAATAATGTGATTTTCCTAAGCATAGCAGCAACATTTTTTCTTTGCTGCAGATTTCTTGAATTTTACACAGCAGCTTAAAAACCTCATTTGACACATTGAAACCTCTGTTGCTTTTAATAAATGCTTCAAATAATAATTATTTGAAAACAGTTTTGATTTAGCAGGACTCTTAAAAATGGGGGGAGAACCAATGCAGCAGATTGGAAGAAAGAATAATTTCTGTAAATAACCATTTTCCTTACACTGGACAGTATCTTCAAAGCAGGGAAATAAAGCAGAACACCAGTTCTTCCTTAACAGTTATATCTTTATTGCAATATTGCATTCAGTGATCAGATGCGGTACTTGAAAAATTCATTTCCTTCATGTTGAATAACATTCCTAGTAATTTTTCTTTTATTTGTACAATTAAAAAAAACCTAGATTATAAGCTCCCTAAAGTTCATCAGCATTTCTTCAAGGAAGGAATGGAGTTATGGCATTTTTATTTCTTTCTGCTTTTCCACCCATACTTATAATACCAAACGTGTGGATTTGTTGAAAGAGAAATACTTGCTTCACTAAAAGAAAATGAGTGAGGTAATGTTCTGGGAATCCTCTTCTGTAGTGTACTTTTGTAACTCATTTCCAGGAGTTTCTTAATTGTATATATCTTAAAATATTCTAGACATTTAATTTCTGAAGTGATAACTTATATTTAGTATCATTTGACTCCATCTCTAACAGTTACACTCCACTCCTAACTTGAAACAAAGTTATTACTCAGTGAGATTTGAGGACATGAATAAGAATAGCCTTTGAGCACTTTGGATAAAGCCTTGTTGGGAAACTCAGTAAGAGAAATGCATGTGTAAGTTACTAATATTGGTAAAGCTGATTTATGTGAATAAGAAACAACACCATTATATTTTGCTTGAACATCTTTTTACCCAAGTGAATACAATCCAGATAGAATAACAATGATTGAAGTAATAGTGATATGGTCATTGTTACAGCCAATGGGGAGGTTTATTATACAGCAGTATCTTGGTACTCATTGGTAATTTGTTCTGGAAGAATATTAAAACTGATGGATACTGAGAAAACCATGTGACCTTCTATTTTGGCCAGAAGAAATAGCAAATCATGAGGTGGCTGATATCAGCAAGTTCTTCCTTGCATGTTGACTATTGGGAGAAAAACAAGTACCAGGACAAGATTTCTGCTTCAAAATACGTCGAATACCGAAATCGATGAGTTTTGAAGCAGTCAAATGCAGAGGTATGACTTTATTAAGTATTTTTAATAGGAAAAGGAAAAAAGCCCCTTTTCTCCATATTATATAAGATTGCATTTTGATTAGGAAATATCATCATGAGCCCTCTGTGCTAGTATGCACCCATTATAAATAAGGAATTTCATAGGTGTAAAATAATTTTCGCTGTACAATCAGCTGTACCAAATCACACAGTCCAGTACTTTATACTCTCTGATAGTAAGTCTTGGGTTTAAGACAGGCTTTTCTATCCATACTTGGAGATACCAAAGATTGAATTATAGATGTTTTGCATATGTATGCTGTGAATGAAAGGGAGATTCTTGTCTATATGATAGGCATGTGGTGATAAAATAGGTGATAGGTGATAAAATAAGGGAGATTATTTTAGCTCTTGCTAAACAATGTTAATCATAAAAAGAATAGGAATTAAAATCTCTTGTCTTTCAGAATATCACTTCTTTTGTCTTCAGTTTTAGTTTATGCTGTCTTCAAAAATATTTTGCATTGTATCCATAGAGATTGATACTTTTAAATTTCTTATATTTTTCCAAAAATACTCTCTTGACTCATTTTAATTTATAGTTGTTCAAAGAATAGATCAATATCATTGCAGAATCAATCTTCATCTGTTTTTCATCTTCCTCTTAATCATCACTGCAAGCTAGGAAGACTGCATTGCATGGTGAGATAATTTTCATTCATATTAGGTAGAAAAAATATCCAGAA